GCCGGACGAACAACATTCAGGTACAGACAATCTTCCGAGACCTAGAAATGGGTAACGAGTCAGTTTAAGCCGAATCCTCGGTTAGTTTGACACCTACCGGATAGTTCCATTGATCAGAGCCATATCCGTAGCACTGTGATATTCGTCAGCCCAAATTCTTTACCATAGATCAAAACATATACCTCAGTAGAGTACTGCGTAGCCGGCTTCGTCTCGTCCCAGGTGGTGTTGAGGCCAACAGGATTTCTGAAGCGAAGACTGCCCACGGGCGGCTGAGCATACGGTATACCCAAGAAAAAGTCCTGATCATATTCGGCAGAGTGTATGCCGACATACGTTCCATTCTTCGTCTGAGCGGTTGGCACAGCAGCGTCGGAGACTGCTAGACCGAAGAACAGCGCGGTCGCTAGAGCTGCGTTGCGCAACATGACAGGCGATTGCAATGACTGGTGTGATCAACCCGGAGCATCGCTGAGGTTAGCCATGCTTTATACTGACAAGCTTTAGCTCGCTGTTGCTAAGTAGCCTCGTGACGGGGGCATAGTCTGTGTCGTACTGCGCGACTAGACATCTGCCGCTCCGTCTCGAATCCGGGGTATGACGGTATAAGCTCCAATAGTGAATATTCCCCGAATCGAGGACCAAGTATTGCGGGGATCATGACATCGTGACGCTTGTTGTTTTTCTCGCGAGGTGGAGCGATCCGGGGTTGCCATTGGACAGGCTCAGCCCGATGTTTGCCCGTGGGCCCCCAGATGTCTCCTAGCGTGGTTATCATAACGATACTGTGGGGTACAGAACATGGCAAATCCCAACGGCATTTCCCAGTCTGGAACTCAAATCTACCCCCGACGGTGAAATAGCATGTTCCTGTTGTCATTCTGGTTATCGTCTCTGGTTCACACTATTACTTGGGTACCTGCTCAGCGTCAGAGACGCCGTAGCTGAATGCAGAGTCTCTACTGCTGAGACGCGTGTGTCTGGCGAGAAGAGTACGAAAGGTTTCGGCAATTCCATCGGAGACACTATGGTATTCAGCCACCGGGAAACCACTCCCACTTCATGAGGCTCTTTCTAGGTTCGTACCGATTCAGCCTTCTTTTCTATTGCCAAGATACTTACTCGGTAGCATTGACAATTGTGCTCTCCATCCCTGTTCAGCTAGTCTTCCCTGTATCTTAATCTTCCTCTCCACTTCTCGGTGCAAAAGTCTTGTTGCCGCTTATCTCCACCTGGTAAGCAGCGCTCTCTCCAGCTTGACGCCGTTCAGATGTCATGGCATTTTAGCGGATCCGGCAGCTAGTCTTGGATGAGGCAGAAAACCAACAGCTAGAGCGTCCACAACGTTGGGCGGTATACCAAGGGTTCCGATAGCCTAGTCTCTCTAGCGTAGAGCCATGACTGCTACCACTACTGCCCCACGAACACCTGTTTGTTGTCAAACACTGTTGGGAAACGGCAAGTTCCCTTGAGCAAATTGCACAGCGCCAGTCCCCAAACACTTTGCGGCGGACTGCATGTACTCGAGATATGAATGTCGTGTGAAAGAATACTGATTTAACTAAGTGGTATCATCTAAAATATGCTATTATCCGCACAAGTGAACGGTCCGTTTAAGGTGCTATCAGGATCGTTGTAGATATCGATGAGCGCCTTCAGAGATGTGTATAATCCTCCCACCATCAGAAAGATGGTCATAAGCATGATGCCGTAGTTGACAACAGCCAGGGCCTTCTTCTGCGGTGTACTCCATTGCGTCTTCCAGTTCAGATGCAGCCAAAAGATGCTCGTGAGTCCAAACGTAAACCATGAGATAAAGATGGCGGACGAGATATTGAGAATCGACGAGAAGATTGGAATCGCGTTGGAGATGACGAAGGATACGATCCAGAACAAGGCGCCGAGGCCGATCCACAGAGTCCAGGTGAACGTGTTGTGGACGTTTACCTGCTCAGGCTTTGCAGCTCGCATAATAGTAATGTACTACGTTGACGTTAACTTATGGTTTCCTCTGTAGGACAAAATAGTTCTTACCATGAACTTGATGGCCGTAATGCCAATAATCAGACCAGTTCCCAGCACCGAGGGGATAAGAATGCCGTAAGCAATCTTGGCAGTCAATTCGGGAGCCGACCCGAGCGCGGGAGATGTGACTGCATTGCCTGCAAGGCCATAGATGACACAGGCGACTACGATGTAGATGACCACTTCGAAAGATTTCTGCATAAAGAGCGCAGGAGGGAAGTCTTTGGATGGGTCTCTCATCTCAGCCATGACACTGATGAAACTCTGGTTTCCGGCGAAAGCGAAAGCCACGTTCAGCAGAGCGTTTACGGCCTCGACGAAAGTCGGCTTCCCAACTAAATCTATCGAAACCTCGAATCCGGGTGGGGCGTTTGGTCCAGCAACACCAAGTGCAATCATAACGATTAGAACCGCAGCTACAATAGAGATCGTGCATACCCAGCTAGCGGCGGCGGCGAAAGAGAGCTTTCGTGGGATGCAGAGTAGCCAACAGAGGATGTGAGGAAACGCCAGGAAAGCCACCGTGCAGAGAGCATGGCGCGACAGCGTGTTGAGAGCCACCGATAGAGTAATGTTGGCGGAAGCGCAGATGAGAACAAGGTTGAAAACAAAGGCAATTCCGAGAAAGGTTTCGAATGGCTTGCCTCCGACGTATAATGCGCAGTCGACCAAGTTCGTAACCATGGGGTATCTTCGATAGAATTGGAGAAGGATGTATCCGCAGTAGGTTGTCAAGATACCAAATCCAAGGATTGCGATGATTCCGGGTATCAGGCCGAGCGTCTTCAAAGCGGAGGGCAAACTGAGGATACCAATTCCGACTTCGATCGTGATCAGAATGACGCACGCTCGCCATCGACCCAACGTACGGTAATTCTCTCCTGGAGTGTTTGGGTATTCTGTCGCCCCAGCGAATCCATCACCTGTCCATCCCGTGGTGATGTCGGTGTTGTGTCCGTATGCCTGCTCCATATCGTCCTTCTCCGATGCGGTCGTGTGAGAAGCAACATCGTCGTTCGAGGGCGCTTTGTGCTCTTTCTTAAGGAAGGCTTTCAGACCCATGGTTGAGATTTGGCCGTAACAACGGATTATGGGGTCTCAAATGATACTAGATGAAAGGTAACTTGGCAGCGAGAAGCGGCGAAGCTGGGTCTTTTGAACCTGCGCGCCTCCTGTATCGGACCTCTGGGTCATCATCCTAGGACGTAATGTGTGCTAGTGGCCGAACAGACCCTGGGAGATCGCCTCCCGGTGACTACTGCACACGTCGCCTTGAATTCTGGCTAACATAGTGCACATCCTACGGATCCACTGTCAAGCTTGCAATAGCGGAGTAAAGTTTGTGGGGGAAAGAGTACGATAAGGCTACATGCGGCATAGGCTTTTGAAAACATCGTCGCTGCATAATGCCAATGCAGAAGGGGTCTTGGAGTTTGATGAGGAGTGTGGGTCATCGTGAGTAATAGTGTGCGCTGAGATGTGACCGTGTCGTCCGATGCTCCACATATCACGTAAAAGTCTTCGAGAAATTCTTCGCGCCGGGATTGGCCGCTTGGCAACGTGCTTGAACCAGCCGAAGTGCGGTGCCAGAGCCGGTGGGACGTATGAACAGGTTGTAACACATGTTTGTCAGCATATATGTAGACGTCTGAGTGATGCAGTCGACAAAGCGACGCCATGTCAGCGGGATGGAGGTGGGACCAGGGCGGGCGCTAGCGACGCTAAGACGGTACCCTCTACAGGGCTGAGGCAGCAGAAGTCGACAATCAGAACCTGAGCACGCGACAGAAGCCGTATCACCCGCATCGCGTGCTACTATAGATATATGAAGATTTCTAAGTAACGGTAGTAGTGGACGACGGATTTGAAGGTACAACGAATTCGGTAGATGCCACTTGTTTGTCAAGACCTGTTCTGTGACTCTAAAACTTGCTCACCTCTCCGTCTTGTCCGTGTGATAACGGCATTGCTGTGGTTTGAAGTTAGGAGTTTGCTGTGTATTTAGCCATGAGTAGGACAGCTGCCGATATTTACTTCACTCTGCGTGCTTTTCAGTGGATTTCTAGATCCAGTGAAGACGTGGATCCGTATGGCAGTGGTTCAGGAAGCTATTGGCTGTTTACATGTGGCAGGCAGATGGCGTATCTAGGTGTGTAGCACTGGACCTGAAGTGATGGTGTTGCAAAAAGGTACAGCCGCCTTCTGGTTGGCCATATGCAGAGCGATGCAGGGCAACGGCTAGCTTCCTTGGCCGCCTATACATTAGGGTGTCTTACCCGAGTTCGATGATTGGTCTTTGTGTAGTGCACCATGTGCTAGATGTCGATATGAATATCATCTAAGGCTGAAAGCGATTATACAAGAGATGTTGCACCAAGAGAGGAGAGAAAAACATGATAACGATGACGTCGCTCCGTCTGGTTCACGCTTGATGTCACCAAAACGCAGGAGAACCGCGGAAACGGCTATGAGCGCCAAGTCACTAGCGCAACACTATCGCCACCGCCATGTGGGTCACAACTAGATGTAACAAGGTTCCCCGACGTGCTCCACGGTATCTTCGCGGGAAAATCAGCGGGTGTGTCTGTATTGAGTAGTCAGTGAGGTATCGAGTTGCGAGTGGAAAGGCGTTGTGCTGCATCGCCATGCAGAATGTTGATTGTAGATTGCAGGCAGGGTAATGTGCTCGCCAAGTCTGTCTAGTGCGCCTGCCGATCGTCCCGTCCTAGTGGCTGGCTTCCGTTGGTTGGACGGGCACCGACCAGAACTTTCCTCCTCCATTCTCCTCTCTGCATTCTTTGTACAGCACACCGCTATCACACAACTTCTGTTTCTAGCCACCGCGCCTTCATTTGTTTGCTTCTGGGTCTTTTTAGGTCAAACGCAGAGAAAGCTCTACTCACACAGCAAGCCACCTCCGAGCTAAAGGACAACTGCGTGTAGGCGAAGCCGTAAGAACCAAACCAGGTTGCAGAATGTCATTTCTTACCAAGAATCGAAGAACAAGTCCCCCCCAAGATGCCTCCGAAATCCGCGAAGATCAATTTCCCGCTGCTCAGCTCGGTCTCCTAGGTATGACTTTCTACGTCACTGACACTAGTTGTCACTAGCCTGAGCCTCGCACTGACAGTACATTCCAGCACTGGTTCGAGTCGCAGAACCAATTGCTCTCACTTCCATACTTCCATACGCATGGAAACTCGTCACCAACTTCCAGGTTGGCTCCGAAGCGAATGCACCGTTCTTCGCCGGTCTGCTCATCTCCGCCTTTTCGCTCGCTGAGGCATGCTCGGGCATGTACTGGGGCTCAGTCTCCGATCGCATAGGTAGAAAACCCGTTGTTATACTTGGGTGTCTAGGAACAATGTCTTCTTTGCTACTTGTTGGCTTAGCTCCTAATTTCTGGGTCGCCCTTCTGGGTCGGATCATCGGCGGTGCGCTTAATGGTAACATCGGCGTTATCCAGACCATGGTGGGAGAGTTGGTCAAGCGACCCGAACATGAACGTAAGTTCCAACGCCTGCTTCTGTTAGATGTTACTAATTAGCAAATAGCAAAGGCGTATGCGGTCATGCCGTTTGTATGGAGCATTGGTACTATCATAGGCCGTAAGACCTCACCCATCCATCGTCCCCTAGTCACCTATACTGACTGCTCTAGCATCGATCGGCGGATATTTTGCTGAGCCCGCTCGAAACTTTCCATCTGTCTTCAGCCCCACTGGTCTTTTTGCCAAGTTCCCTTACCTACTTCCAAACATTATCTGTGCCTCTCTACTCCTACTCTCTATCTTGATGGCATATTTCCTTCTAGAAGAGACTCACCCAGACAAGCAGCCTCGAGGTTATTTCGAACAATACGACCCAGCCGTTGCAGAGACGCCGCTTCTCCCAGCCCAGGGTGCGACAGCTGATGCAGCCGCAAACTTGACAGCAGATTCTTACGGCACTTTCAACGCCGTAGAGGTTGAACACGACGAAATCTGGCGTGTGCGCTCTAACGGAGACTGGGTAGAATCGCCAACAGATGAGAAGGTCTTCACACGTCCAGTCATCTTATTCGTCGTAGCACTGGGAATCTTCACGTACCATTCTGTAAGTCCAATAGATATCCCAACATGAACAACCGGCTGATGTGAATTTAGATGACATACGATCACCTACTTCCCATCTTCCTCCAGGACAAACGCGCTGACAGTGATATGAATGCATTGGACATCTCGCCTTCTTCTTTGGGCGGTGGCCTTGGTATTCCTATTCAGAACGTGGGCATTATCCTTTCCCTTAACGGCATCATTCAGCTCGCGATCCAGGGCTTCGTCTTCCCTCTATTGGCGGATTGCTTTGGTGTATGGCGCCTGCTCCTCGTGGTTACGCTCGCACATCCGATTGCATACTTTATTGTTCCCTTCCTGCAGCTTCTACCCGAAAACTTGCTCTACCCCGGTCTGTTCGCTTGCCTGACCGTGCGAAATCTGACATCGATCCTGGCCTTCCCACTTCTCCTGATCATGATCAAAGAAGCTACGCCCGACAGGTCGCATCTCGGAAGAATCAACGGACTAGCAGCGTCGACAGGTGCTGCCTGCCGTACAGTGGCGAGCCCTATTGCTGGCTTACTCTACGGTCTATCTATTGAGCTACACTTCACACCCTTGGCCTGGTGGGGTTCCGCCCTGGTCGCAATCTGCGGAGCTCTCCAGGTGCCATTCCTGAATCGCGCCGCGCACGAGTGTCACGCTCGTGTTCGTAACGTAGCTAGCGACTATCTTACCAAGGAACGTCGTCGGAGTGAAGTAGTGCACATTGTGGTCGAAGACGAATAGTTATGGAGGCAGCAACTTTCCGGACATAGCGCGTAGACGCGCAACCATAGATTGGAGTATTATGTTCTCGCCCACTCGTTTTTGCGCATAAATTAGTCCTGCGAAACGCGATTCATCTTCAAGGCGTTTTGGGAGCAACGGCAAAGATACCAGAATTGTGCGGATATCAGTGCTGTGCATTGGGGGTTTGGCGTTCACTGCATTTACATCGGTGTAGATCACGGTAGAAATTTGCAAATGTCTACGTTCCATGAACATAGCAATACGACAGGTTCCTTCTTGCATAACTTTCCCGTGGCTGTCATCGTCGGATGCGTTACTAAAGAGACTGGGGTAGTCTTAGCATAATGTCAGTATTTCATGCGGAGTTCAATTCTTGAAACGACTGGGTTGTCATGGACTTGGGGAGTACAAGAATAGCAACGTGTCAGGGCTCTCCGAAGGTACAACCCGACAATGTACCGAAGCAGCGAGGTACAATCGGAACTGCCTTCGGCGGAGTTCTCTGTACTGTGTTTCTTGATGATAATCTGAAAGCTTTGAGGATGATCCATGAGCCAATGTAACGAACGTCTTGCAGTTGTGTACAAAATCTCCTCTCATGTCGCATCCTCTTACAACGTGGCTTGTGGTAAATTGCAGCCTTAAGATGCCGTCATTCTTGTTCAGGAACTATTGTCCTGCGTCAGTGTTCCGAACGCTGACACCGCCACTTCCGCGTTCACGACATCTCTGTGGCCTGTTCCACATGCTGCAAGGTACCCGTGCGCCATGTCTCCAAAGCTTGTCAGTCCACCCCTGCACCATATGCGATATTCTGAGAGCTATGCAACCTCTATCTGGCAACCAGATTACCTTCCGAAGGACGTTCAATATTGATTTGCAGATGGATAGTGAGTGGTGCGCGGGTGATGAATCGCGCATGCCCCTCCATGCCTCGGTCTTTCTCGCCCGAACTTCAGTAAGAACAACGCTGCCAGTACTCCGAGCTTGATAAGCTGGCAGCTCTATCGTGGCTTTCAACGCTCTTCTTCATGCTACCGTCCTTCTAATATTGCAAACAAGCCTTCGAGACGCGGGCTCTCGATGGACCTAGGATCCATGTCGCGCGAAGCTTGATGTTCCTCACGCTGGTTGGCTACTGCAAGGGCGCAATGGCGGAACAGCCGTGAAACACGCTCGTGCATGTTCCTTCAGAACGACAGCTTCACGACTATAGTTAGTGGCGGGATTGGCTCGAACGGGAGATACAGATGACGGAGAATAGCTTGGCTAGGCAATACGGATCTAGACGGATGCAGGGCAAGGGACTGGCGGGCCAGACACACGAAGAAAGCAAATATGGAACCCTCCAGATGCCCGTATATATCGATCCCTTAGTGTCTCCGCGGTACCGCTACTGAAGTTGATCCGGGAGGCAACAGAGCATAGATGTGACGACTCGTCGACAGTTTGCGGCTCTGCGTTTGTTCGAGAATGTGGACATCGGGCCTCACCCAGTCGTGAGAGTATTGAACAATATACTTGACGCTGCTGGCTTGCCGATGTACAACCTCTTCACGTCATTGGCTCGTACCTGCATGACAGTCTACTCAAGCCTGCTATTTAGGGCGTTTCGGAAGCGCCCCTGTTGCCCTCGCTTACAACATGCTCACGCCAAAGCCGTTCGACTAGGCTCCACAACCTCTACCCAGGCCATCTTGTAACCGACGACACTATTGCCATGTGGACCTGCAGAGCGCGCGACAAAGACGGACATGGAGGCCCCTTGGGCGACTCGTTCTGATCGTGGCTGAGCAGACGAGTCGGAGGCTGTCGGCGGACCAATCCTTTGGAAATGTTTCGAGCTGGCTTGTTTCGAACGAGCGTGGTGGTAGAAGTATATCTTCCTCCATTGTCCTTTCTCCTAGTGTTTCTACACACTCTATCTTCTTAATTACAGCATTGAATTTGCTGCTACTTTCGCTTACCAAGGCGAACAAAGTCACACTCTTTCGACTTTGCCGTCTTGTCAGACCGTCATTCGTTCAAGGTCCAACTACAACATACTTTATCTTTATTGCAGCTTTTGAATTTGAACTCGACTTCCATATTTCACCATGAAGTCCACATACGCTCTTTTGGTCACTGGCCTCGCAGCCCAGCAGGCCGCAGCACACTGGAACTTTTTCGACAACTACGGCACACCCAACTACAGCAAGAACGTTTGCGACGACAAGCAGAAGGGTGGCTTCGACTGGTCGGATCTTACAGATGGTCAGTCCGTCGGCAACTATGGTGATTTTGACTTCTCTGGAGGATGGAAATGCTCCAACTCCTTCGGCAAGCGGGACTCCATGAGCAAGCGGACGTTTGGAAACAAGTGCATCAAGAACACCGTTCGCAAGGACAAGCCAGCCGCATTCGGCTGTGCCCAGCGTGGTTTCTCGATCACACACATGGATGTTTCATCCGAGTTCGACGCTGAAATTGAACTCCATTACAAGATGGAGGACGGATCTCTCTGCAAGCAACACACCAGCTGCTCGGCCGGTGGATCGACGTTGCAGAACACACAGTGCGGTGGCGCCAAATCCGTCGAGGTCTACCTTGGCTCCCACTACAAGGGCGAGAAGGAGTCTTGCGAAATCGGTTTCCACAACATTGGTTTTGACTGCAATGCTGAGAAACCATACACTACTCCCACCCCACCTGAGGTTCCCTCTACTTCAAGCGAAGTTGTATCTTCCACCATCGTCGAGTCATCCACTGCTCCAGCTTCCAGCGTTATCTCCTCCGCTGTCGAGACCCCTGCTTCCTCTGTGGTCGAGACTCCTGCATCGTCTTCTGCCGTTGAGACACCCGCAACCTCTGCCAACGAGTGCGGACAGTATGGCGAGGCATGCAACACACCTGTTGAGACACCTCTCTCTTCCACTGCTCCTTATGCCAACAGCTCTATGCCCGCCTACACTCCTCCGGCTTCTTCAGCCGTCGAGATTGAGTCTTCCTCTGTCGTCGAGGTCTCCAGCACCCCTGTATCGATCCCTTCCATTAGCACTGCTACTCCTCAACCGGAGTCTTCCACCGCTGAGGTACCATCTACATCTCAGAGCTCTATTGCTGCTGGTTGCGGTTACGGAGAATCTTGCGAGCAGTCTTCAATCGTCGCATCCTCAACGGCCGCGTCGTCGGCTGTTGTTTCATCTGCTGTTGTCACTTCTACTGTCCCTAGCTCTGGAACTCCCCTCCCTGCTACCAGCTCCGCCGCTCCTCAGCCTTCCAGCCCTAGTTACCCTCCTGTCGACATCACAGACTCGGTCCCTAAGTGCATGAACTCGTGGCTCCAGATTTCGGCCCCAGATTGCAAGGACAACACCGATTCCAACTGCTACTGTGTCAAGCCTGAATTCACTAAGAACGTCATTGACTGTATCTCAGCTCGCTGTGGTAGCGATGACGAAATCAGCAAGGCCCTTCAATACTTCATCGGCATCTGCGCTGAACACGTCCCCAAGAACCCCAGCATCGTCGATGACTGCCCTTCGTACATTCCCTTGAACCCTACTCCTGCCGCCCCATCTGGTGGTGCTTCTACTGGTGTTGCTAGCAGCAGCGAGGTTCCAGAGGCCGCTGAGAGCAGCTCCATGGCTGCCCCTCCCGCTGGTGGCGAGAGCTCTGCTGCTCCCTCTGCCCCTGCTCAGGACACATCCAGTGCATACGGCCCTGGTTACCCTGGTGAGACACCTGCTGTTCCTACCCAGGGTACTACGACCGTCCCTGCCGGTGAAACTCCTGCGATTACCACTGTCGTCTCCTCTGCAACCATGACTCAGGTTGTTGGCACCACCACTCCTGCCCCTGAGACTCCTGCTGCAGAGACTCCATGCACCACCATCACCTTCGGTACCACCACACTTACCGTCCCACAAGTTCACTTCACCACCCAGACCAACTCTGCCGGCGCCAACCCAACTGAGCCTGTTGCCCTTGTGCCTGGCACTGCTGAGCCTGCTCAGACCCCAGCTGCCACCACACCCGCTGCTGGTGGTGCTCCTTACCCCATCCCCTCCACCATGGGCACTGCCACTGTTCCTATCGGTACTGCCACCGGTACTGGAGCCATCCGCCCTTCTTCGCCAGCTGAGTTCACTGGCGCTGCCTCGCCTTTCACCGTGGTGCCCAAGGGTGCTCTATTCGGTGCTGTTCTTGCCTTCCTCGCCTTTTAGATGCTATACATTGTAATATGGTGTAGCTTTATCTCTTTTGTTTCGCTGTTTGTATCGAGCTACTGGTGCCTTAAATGATGCACAATTCGTATCCGAGGACTCGAATCTGTAATGCAAGCGTTTCCTTTAAGCCATAGAGTATATAGAAAAGTATACCACGAGTGATTTACAGACTTTCACACGATTCTTGAGTTCCGTTATGATTGAAGTCCATGTTGCTCGGAGTTGACGGCAACAAGGCACTGCATGGGTTCGCATGTGAATAAGATGGGGCAGAGGGCTGTGCCGAGGTCCGCTACGCGGATCATAGGCGCAGCATTCAGGGATCATCGTCATATGGCTAGCTTCCCCAGACTCTCTAATGACAACAACATCCCCTCAAACTATGGTCCTGACACATACAACCGAAGACGCCCAGTATGTCGTCGTCTGGCGCATCGCAGCCCACGCCGCCCAGTAAAGCACAAAGCGTCGATCCAATATTGCGCAATGCGCTCCGCTACACCATCTCGGCCAAGGAGTATCAGTTGCTGCACCAGTACCTCCTTTCGCGCGCACCCGTCGTGAAGAAGCGCACTATACATCCTAAGCGATACGACGCGATTGTCAAGGGTCCGGATGACTACAACGTAGCCGCATTCCGCGCTGCACTGCGGTTGGGCGTTGTGACCTTCTCGGGGCTGAAGGCATGGGAAGTGATTAGCACGAGGCTCCTTTCGCGGGGAACAGCGAAGAGGTAGGTCCGGTCCCGCTTTGTATCTGAACAAGTCGCATTAATGCTGTGGCAGGAGTCAACCTAGGACATCGGTCCTCAAGTCACCCAACGTGCGCCTCAGCAGCTCCCTCGCCCTCATACTGCTATTCCACCGCCTCCTACGTCGCTTCTTTCTGCGCATCCGTGAAAGCCTACTCAGCCACGAAGGCAAGTCGTTCCGGCGACGAAACCCGCGCATATCTCGTTCCTTGACGTCGAGGTTGGCACCGGCCATTGGATCCAGCTTGGCGGGGTTCTTCCTCGCAGTGTACCCCGGGGACCAACTGCGCGTAACAATTGCGATATACATAATGACAAGAGCTCTGGAGTTTGGCTACAATTACTTGGAGGAACTAGGATACTTCAAGAACAAACCAACCTGGCTTGGTTCCTGGATGATAATGCCAGTGGCATGTGGACAATTACTGCACGCATTCGTCTTCGACCGTGACTGTTTCCCTTCTGGCATGGGCGATCACATATTGAAGAACTCACCAGAGTACATACAGAAACGACCGAAAGACTACCCAAGCACGGCGCAGTGGCCAGGCACGTTTGATATTGTGGACAACCTAGCCGACATCTCGCGGCAACGCTGGCCAGCTTTCGTATCACCCATCCTCTTCCCCAATGCAGAAACGCTACCAAAACGCCTGTCGTCCATCTCTCCCATAACCTCTCCTGCACATCCAGCCATCAAGTCCTTGTCGTGCGCCTTACTCCACCCACAAGATCCTTCCTGTCTGCGAACCTACGTCCAGTACTGGATCCAAGCCTTTCCCAAAATCGCCCGTTTTTTCACTCTCTTCTTCGCGGCTATGAGCATCACAAAGTACAAAGCTTTCCTCTCCTCGCCCGTCGCCTCATTAAACAATCTCGCCAAACGCGTACTGCGCATGTCGCTCTTCCTCTCTGGTGCTATAGGAACGAGTTGGGGCTCTATTTGCCTCTTCCAGAACATTCTGCCCCGGACTTTCCTCTCCACCCAACGCTGGTTCCTAGGTGGTTTCCTCGGTGGCCTATGGGCTTTCTTGGAGAGGAAAGGTGGGCGGAGTAATTTCCTATATACAGCCAGAATGTCGATTGATTCACTATGGAAAGTGGGTGTCAAGAGGAGATGGTGGAAGGGCGTGAAGAATGGAGACGTACTGCTTTTTGTTGTTAGTTTGGCAACTGTTAATGCTTTGTATGAGGTGTCGCCACGGGCGGTTAACAGTGGTGTTGCGAGGAAGGGATTAGGTGTGTTGAGGGGTGAGGGCTGGGTTGACAGAGCAGTGGTGCCGACTGAAGGTAAGGGCAAAGAAGGTGCTGACCAGGAGTAATGATATCCAGCTGTTTTGTGTACGAATACTTTGAATACTGAACATGGTGATGGTGCATTTTGAATCTCAAGGTATATATGTAACGTGCTGAATTGGCATACAAGTAATGACTGTCATAACAAATTCGCTCCAAAAGGACTGAACAATCTTGAGTGGGGTATAACAAGGCTTTTGAAGCCAGACAAACACACTGAGTCGCTTCTTCCATCTCCTACCATTACATCCACCGCCTTCTTTCCCTCCTCGTGGTAATATCACATGTGACATCAAGCCATCTTCATACTCTCGGCGCTCTCGGCCAGCTCTGCCCTTTCACCACCATAACTCTTCGGTACACCCTTACCCAGCTCGGCGGCAAGCTGATTTCCATAGCTCAGCACCACAAACTTCTTGCTCGTCTCCTTGGCCACAACCAACTTCATTGCGTTAAACAGCCAACCCATGACCACGGGTACGTTGACGAAGAACTTCCTGCTCAAGGTCTCAGGGTAGTGACGTCCTAGTATTTCAATGGTCTTGTTGGTTGCCGTCTTGACAAGGGGGTCGCGGCGCAAGAAAGAGACTTGAAGGTAGTCGTGGATTTGAAATCCTTGGTATGGGTCTGGACCTTCTCCGAAATTGGGGATGGGCGTCGTAGCGGCGGGGAGGTTGAGTGCTTGGACGGACTTTTCCATAAGGCCCACACGCCAGCGGAGGAAGCTGTAATGTTTCTGTTAGAATGGTTCCACTTATGGCATTAGGAGCAGAAAGAACATACCCATCTAGATCACCAAATGTAGCCTTGTTGTCCTTCACAGCTCCATAGATGTTGAAAGTAACAATATCCTTCTTGTTGGGACTCTCCGGCACGCCCTCGACCTCCAGCACGTATCCTAGCCCATCGAACTTGCTCTTCTCGAATGTCTCCCCTGCCGCCTTGGTCGGATCGAACTCCTTTCTCCACTTCAGCGTATCCAGTAGCTGTGACTTCGCTTTCTCCAGATCGTTTTGGTTGGCTCGGAGGAACTTTTGTAGTATGAGCTTGGTATGGAAGGGTTTTGATTTGCTGAGCTCTATGCCATAGACTTCTCCATGCTGGGCTTCGGTAACGAGGGCTTCGAAAGCATCGTAGAACTTGGTGAGTGGGTGATCGGGCGCCGTCTCTGGCCAGAAGGGTCCCTGAGTGGGCGCTACGGTGTCGGCTTCGGGTTCTTTCTGTTCCACAGGTTTGGCTTCGCTGTGTGCGGTTTCGGGCGCCACGGCATTGGCTTGGGGAGTGACGTCTGCTTCCTTGTTCTCTTCTTTCTTTTCGTCGACAGAGAGATCGGCTACTGCCGCGGTGGCATTGTCGATAGCCTCCCCTCCATCGTTCTTGTCGTTAGACCCAGCCACAAGATCAGGCTCCGGCTGTTTCTCCAGACCCGCTCCGCTAAAGAGACCGGCCCCCTCCGTAGGTGCCGTACTCGCGTCCTCGGGCTTCGCTGCCATCTTTCTTTACTTCGCAAATGGGCGTGTGCTAGTCGGGCTGCCAACGTTGTGTTTGGAGAATTGTTTCAGGAATGCGGAGGCCGATCCCTAAACTCCGGAACCGCGATGCGCGTCCTCACGTGTCTGAAATCGATATGCGATTGTACATCAGCTGCACACACCGCTCCAGATTTATGGCCAGTATAACTCAATTAGTTCTATGTACGGAATTTGTTCGACAGGAAAGCTGCGTGACGTTCGCCCCATGTTCGTAAAAACAAAAAGGTCTTTGCCTATAACAAAGCGTGCACATGATGTTTAGCTAGGACAAGTTCCTCCGTAGCAGCCTAATCCAAGTATGCATTTACCACGATCAAGAGTCTATTTGAATAGATTCTGTGTATATGCAGTGTGTACTAGGAGTTCCATGTTCACTGTCAATGTACTTTTGCGAACAGTCAAGGTTCAGTAGTAGTTTAAATATTTTCATTATAAATAACAAACTACATAATCGCGCTGTACTTCCAGACAGGCACCTCTATTAAATTCACTTCGTCTCCTGCTGTACACACCTTGTTCAATTCCATCGGCGTGTGACAACGGCTGAGAAGGAAGGAAGAATGAGTAGTGGCGATGCACGATACGAGCGTCACCTGCGACTGACAGTCAGCATATAATGTCCGTCGTTGATTTGAACAAATAAAGCAGTTGAAGAGAGCAATCAGTCGAAAGATGAAAAGTCTCGAATGTTTTTTCAATCAGTGAGGCGAGCCCCGTCTGAGTTAGCATGAATTGGTGTTCATCATAGCATGGAAAAGAAGAAGAAAAAAAGACGTGGGTAATGTACCTTTGCACTGCGCAGCTGACAGCTGAATGATGAGTTACTTCAATACTGTATTTACCTAGAGCAATGTCAGTAACAATTCAGACAGAAGACGTTTTGACTAGAGCTCGGGTATGGGAAGAGATTCAGGTAATCGAACTAGTTTATTCCCCACGAAGTGGTCGGTATTTGATAATACATTTGTTGCTCATCATCTAAGGATGGATGCTGGGGTGCGAGGGATGTGGTCTAACCTTTTGGATCATAACGCAGCCCACGAAGCCTTTGCCGTCTGGACAACGCTATGACGAGGTCTGCTATCGCTTGTAACCAACGACCATAGAGGATGTGCGACAGGCGTAAGACTTCGTGGGGCTACGGACCGCCATGAGCGGTGGCGCTTCGCAATGCGCATCATCGTCGCGAAGTCATACTGCGACGGACAACTGCGAGACCCTTTATAATTTGTTAGCGTTGGTCCCAGCAGAAGTTGCAGTAACAAATTGGTAGATGTTGCGAACGATCAGTATTCTCGTTTGGCTTGAGTGGTCGGATCACCATAGAATGTATGATAGGGGCGACACAAGTGTTCATCATGATAACAACAGTAAACAGAGAGAGGGAGGGTATGATGACTTACCAATAGTTGGGCGCGTTGTTGGAGTGAGAAGGGAAGCAGCGAGCGCAACTTTTGTATGGGAACTTTTCGCGGCGGTGTTTCGTTTCGCCGAGCGGATCGTGGTCCAAGCTTTCATCCATGCGGCTCTCTTGCTCATGGACGCGCTCCACCGTTGTTCCTCGGTCGGCACCTACGCGCTTCCTTTCTACATCAACCCACCACGACGAAACTCCATTTGCACCCTCACCCAACATGGTCGCCTCAACCTCGGCATCTTTTGAGAACTTTGTCAAGCAGACAAGGGAGAAGAAGAAGAACGAAGCCCTCGCGCAGCAGTTCCTAGGCGGAGCCAACCGAGGACGGAAAGCGAACGCATCAGGCGCTGGTGGACGGTCGCGCGTCGAGTCCGAGAAGCCTTCATTGCTCAGCCGGATAAACGGGGGTGCCGGCGTCCAAAAGCGATCATCGAGCGCAAAACCAGCGGGCAGCATCGAGGGGAAATGGCAGCATGATCTGCATAAGCTGAACAATCCCCGTGGCGCAGCCAACAACAGAAACACCCTCGCTCGGACGGCTTCAGCATCGCAGGTTGAGCGCAACAGTAGGACGTACGGCAAATTTGCTCCCGTTATCGGTCAAGGTGCAGCAGGCTTCAGCATTCGAGGTGTTGCGACTGGAGGCCCGTGTACCGTCATCGCGAGCAACTTTGCACCTGGAACCACAGCCGCGGATATCGAAGCCGTCATGAGCCCAATTGGCGGAGAGACGCTGGGCTGCAGACTTTTGTCTTCCAACCCGACCGTCATGGTTGAACTACAGTTTGCAAGCAGAGACGGGGCCGAGAATGTTATTGCAACATTCAACAACCAGAAGGTCAGTCGTCTGGCGTGCATATTGCTGGGCTGGACTAATCAGAACAACAGGCTGATGGAAGACTACTCTACGTCTACATGAAGGATGTTCCTGCGAGCACCCACGTAGCGCAACCCCGAGCACCGCCCGCTCGCCTGACACAATCCATGGATGACATGGACGTTGATACCAACGCGGGCGCACAAACCGGTAGCTACCAAGATGGCCGATTCGGCTTCAGCGACGCTGGTCGCAGGGAACCACCGCGCGGTCCCCGCCGACGATACTAGAGCTTAAGCATCAGCGCACATCTTCTTCGATTTCCCCTGTACGATACCCTTTCACCAACGATAGCGATGAACAGACTCCACTCGGCGGGGGCTCTAAATCAATGACATGCAGATGAGCCGTGTAGTATTGGTTTTTGTTTCGGAGACATAAGCAGGGAGTTAGGTTACATAGACATCGTATGCTCTAACGACTTCCTCGCAAAGGATCTGGTATCTAGAATACATCTTTAATTATGGACGCATATCATCTCTCTCTTTGCCGTATTCCTGTCTGTTTTCGCCTCGGGGGAACTACTTGCTGGACCAACCTGCAATAGCAGCATCGACCTCGTTCCTGTACCTTTGTTGTCCCTCACACAGCTCCAGGAACACCTTGTACTTAGCGTCCAATAACTTCTTGACTGTCTTGTCGGCTAGTGGCTTCACAGTTTTTCCAGGCTTGCTCAGTCTGTCCATGATGTCCCAAAGCGGTTCACTGTTTCCGTCCTTGTCGGTGCTCGCTGCCTTTGCACCCAGCATAGCCGCGCCGTGCACCACAGCTGCATGTACATAGCGTGGAATCAGAACGGGCATGTCGCATGCGGTGGCCATGAGTTGCATGAGCAGGCTGTTCTGGCACTGAGAACCAGACATGAAGATTGAGGAAATAACGTGGCCGGAGGCATTCATCGCAGAGACAATCTGGTGTGTCTGCAGAGCGATAAACTCCATGGTTGCGTAGTAGTATAGCGCCAGACTGTCGAGACTCTTGTCGGAGCTCAGACCAATTACAGAGCCCTTCATGTTAGGGTCGGCGATGGGCGAGCGATTGCCGAAGAGATCACCGTAGAAGAAGAAGTGGCGGCCAAGCCAGGCGATGTGTGGGGCATTTTCTTTGTCTGCCATCTCGCGTAGGTGTTCGTTGAGGTAGTCGTAGATGTTGGTGTTGTATGTTTCTGCGACAGACACGGCTTCGTTGAAAGCTGGATGTGTCTCGATTACATGTTTGAGCAATTCACCCGTTGCACTTTGTCCTCCTTCTGCCATCCAGTAGTCTGGTAGTAGGACGTCTCGGTATGGACCCCAGACACCGTCGACGAAGACCGGGTTACGGGACATGGCAAGGTGACAGGTCGATGTTCCGGCAACGGCTGCGAGGCGCGTGAAAGCTTGTGAGACGTCGTTCTTGGGTTGATCCATGTCGAGAGTATCTTCGTCGAGCTTGACTTTGGCACCAACTGTACCGATCCAGCCAGCGTAGGCATCGATAACTCCACTGCCGACTGCGATACCAGGCTGTAAGCCCATCTCCTGTGCAGCCTTCTCGCTGAGTGTACCGACAAGTTCACCAGCAGTGAGGTAGCGTCCGTTCTGCATGCATGTTAGCTGGTACCGTCAGGTGCTAGTAGCGAAGGACAAACCACTTTATCAACACCTCCCATGCGCTTGAAGTTGTCTTCGCATAGGTCTTCAAGTCCAATCTCCTTCAGGAAGTCTTCCTGCCAGCCCTTGACACTCCCATCGACTCCGACCGGTACAAAGCCCTGCTTACAGACTACACTACAGTAGCTTCTGCTTTCACTGCCAGTAGCTAAATGCGTAAGAGCATCAGTCAGATCGTAGAACTTGCAGCGGTCGAATAGCTCCTTTGGCATGTTGTTCTTCAGCCACAGCACCTTTGGAATCTCCATCTCAATAGACATCTTGCCTCCAACGTAGCGGAGCAGATTATGCCCGGTAGCGTTGATCTTGTTGGTTTCCTCTACAGGCCGATGATCGAGCCATAGGATGACATTGCGATCGTTACCATCCTTGTTATCGAAATTGGGTCCGGTGACCGCAACAGGCTCATCAGTGTCGTCTCTGAAGACTGCGAGCGAGCAGGTGGCGTCGAAGCCGATACCGCGGATAGTGCTCTGGTCGATGTTGTGCTGATCCATTGCTCGGCGGACTGAAGAGCAAATGCACCGCCAGATATCCGTTGTGGATTGTTCCTGATTCATTTAGTTTTCGGTCACAACAGCTGTCACATGTGAATGAAGTACATAGTAGCCAGTTTGTGGTTGCCAGAGGCCAATGTTCTCTGATGCCAGTCCAACGATGTCTCCCTGATCATTCATGATGCAGGCTCTGGCACTACCAGTACCAACGTCGATACCGATGTAGTGGTCAACTTGAGGGTGGAGCTCATTGCGGGGGTCCGTCGACAGTTGACGCGACTGCTTGCGCTGGGACTGTCGGAAAGGAATTGCCATTGCTGCAAACGATTATGAAGAAGTGTCAGAAGGGCGATGTGTTAGAATTGAGGAAAGCTAGCAGAAATCTCGAGGACTTGAGAATAATGTTGAGATACAATACAGCTGTCAATGCGGGATGAGCTCATAAGAGCTCTGGGGGAGCTCTAGTACGGTGGGGGTGGGGCAACAACCCCAGCGTTCTGTGCAATCGGACTACTCGTCCTCAGGGTCATCGTCGGCCTGAGTGCCGATCTGCTCGCAGACAGACAGAGAAATGTGGGCATCGTGAGCGTCGGGTCCACCTTTTGAGGTATGCCGGATGCTGTTGGGCCAGCGTTGGCTGTCAAGAACGCCACGCAAAGCAAGTTCATGTCTTGGATGCTGGCTGATCATGGTCATCGGTGCGATTTCGGATCAAGCGGAGGTGCAGGATCATTTTACTGTTTACCTCAGGAGATATGGGATGAGGAGGAGGGGTCACGGAAGCGTGGCTCGCTTGAGTGAATGGCCCGTCGGTGATACGATTCGCCGTTGAGTTGAACTAGCCCTAGCTCTCGTAACCAACACGGTTGCGCATACAGATAGCAACCGCACCAGCACGCCAAGATGTTATTGTCAAGGCTTCTTCTGCTTCCCTTTGCGGTCGCATCGTCGGTCACACTTTATGTCTCCTCTGTCCCAGCCTCAGCCGACAGCGCTGTAATTCCCTCCCCAATCCCGCTCGCGCAGATCGAATACGATGCAGACCAATCCGTCGGCAGTCTAGCTTCCTTCACACCACCCACAGGCTCCTACTCGCCTGATCATCTTCTTCGCGTCGGCCTTACAGATCCAAAATCCGGCTCATGGCGGGGCATTGTCACATCAGCAGCTAGCTTCTCCGACCGATACCACAAGAAGTTTATCATCCATGTCGATGACAAGGGGGAACCTTTCCACATCGGCTTCGGTACGAGCGCGAAAGGTAGCGGAGACGAGGTGGAGGTGGAGATAAAGAAGAGGAATGTTGGGCCAAAACCGGTCCTCAACAAGCCTATCGTGCTCAATGCCGAGGGGAAGCTTGATGGTAAAGAGCCGGAGAAGACGTTCTTGCAAAAGTGCGTAGTGCAACAGTCCTCGCTCTCGGAGGCTATGCTGACTTTTTTACAGGTACTGGTGGGCTCTCGCTCTCTTCTTAGTAGTGCAATTGGTTGCAGGTGGTGGAGGCGAGAAATAAGGCAAAGGCGATTTGGACCCTCATTGATTCCCAGTTCAATCCTAAATGCATTTTCATCTCCATTGCCAGTCATGATTCCTTTGAGACTGGTGCTACAGGTACGGTATTCTCAATATTTTCAAATTGATTCCATGTAATTGTGAGCAACAAGTGTTCTATCAAAGGTAAAGGGCATAAACTATCATATATTCCGTTTCGTTCCTTCGTCTTAACGTCTATGATCTGGGGTAATCATACATTCATCGTAAGCGCTCTTAGGCGAGAGCTGTGCTAGCAGAAGTAGGACGAGATTGGGCAGGTGGGGGGAACACAGTCTTGGGGACTGCGACAGCTGCAGCAGCTGCAGCAGCTGCAGATGTAGCCAGAGAAGACAGTGTTGGGATGGATCCAGTCGAGGTCGCATTGACTGGGGTACGGATAGCAGGAGATGGCGTTGACTTGGGCTGGTGGACGTCCATGGGTAGGATCTCCGTCTTGAGCTCCCTCGTCTTCTTCTGCTTAGGCTCGGGGGCCTTCTCGTTCTCCTGGACATAGAACTTCCGAAGCAGCATGATTGCTTCCTCTCGGAAGATGCCGCCGGTGACTGGATAGGGCTTGTCAACGCTGGGGCTACAGGAGTCAGTACGGACAATTGATGTGTCTGTATAGAACGAGGGTCACATACTCAGAGTGGATGTTCAGCACTCCTCCAGTACCGCCGAACCGCTCGTTCCAGCATCCGAAGTAGACTGCTCGAATGCCGTACTGGCGCAGCATGGATGCACACATGACGCATGGCTCGACAGTGACATAGAGGTCTGTCTCGTTGAGGATGCTGATGGGGTGCTTTGACAAGATGCCAGCGATGGCGACGAACTCTGCGTGTCTGGTACCGTTCAGAGTTCGGTTTGTCTCGTTCATGCCTCGTCCAATGACCTCGCCATCTTTGACAAAGACACAGCCAACGGGCGTCTCATCACTCTTCAGTGCAAGTTCAGCCTGTAGCGGTGATGAGTCAGCATTGGATCCAAACACGGTAATGGAGGCTTAGGATAAAGGTGAAATGTTGTAAAGCGAAGGGCGTGATTCACCATAGCGATAGCCTCCCGCATGAAGCCTTCATGATACGCTCTCTCCTCCGGATCCATGGCGTCTGGTACGTGAATCGCTTCGTTGTCTTGGCACTGTTCTGTATGCACCCGAGAAGTATTCGCAGATTTCGAAGTCGGTGTTTGCTGTGCATGTAGATAGTAAAGCGTCAGGCCAAGAGCGGCAGACGCGAGCACGAGAGCCTTCCATGATTCCTTCGCTTGCCAGATTGCAGTCATTCCAAGGTGAGGCAGTTGCGACCATACAGAATGTTCTGAAACAGAAGGTGCAGGTCCGAGTTCTCAGGCGCTGAGTGCCGGCCCAAGACGGTTTCGGCAAGCACTAGCGCCTAGTTTACGTGGACGTGGAAGCCGCGATCCGACCGAGGGCTAAGCTACCAAGAGAAGCACACAGCCATTGCCATCGCAACGCCAGGCATCGACCAACATTCACTCTGTCCAAGCCTATTCACTGCACAGCCACAATCACATTACGCAGCGCAACGTACACCAACGCGGCGCACGATATTTCAACAAAGCATATCAAACCTCGCGTGAGACATCTTCCAAGAGCTTCATTCAGCTTGCGCCAGCAACAAAGCTACCGGAACCGCAACCCAGACATCTGCAACACACCACCTTGCGCATCGCCCAGCACAGCTAGAGTTATTCGACAGGTAGTTGCACCGCAAAGATGACGCTCGCAGAAGAGTTCAAGTCAAGGAATTTCAGTAAGACGCCGAGTGCCCAACCTGTTATTTGTTGCTGACATGGCATCTCCACAGGTATCTATGGTCAATGGTCAGTCACACCAGTTGCTATGCACATATCCACTGCTTGCAGCATGCCATACTAACTCATCCGCAGGACCGGAGTGTTGTGTATAGTCCTTTGCTTTGCGCTGGGCATAGCCAACATCTTCAACGCCAACTGGGTCATCGCGTTTAGCATTGTGTGTTTGTACGTTTCCCGTGGCCTTCTCCCAGACAAAACCACATCTAACCAGCTCGCAGAGTATGTTCGTTCATCATCATCTTCATCGAAATACCGCTGCTCCTCCGCATTTGCCCAACGTCACCCAAGTTCGATACCTTCATCCGTAAATTCAGCTCCAACTACATGCGCGCGGCCATCTACGCGGCGATGAGCGCCATACAATGGGCCAGTATTGCCGCCCGGGCTACTAGCTTGATTGTTGCGGCCGTCTTCCTACTGCTCGCAGCCGTCTTTTACGCGCTTGCTGGCTTCAAAGGCCAGCAGTTCCAGGGCAGCAAGACACTGGGAGGACAAGGAGTCGCACAAATGATTATATAAGGCGGAGGTGGAACTGGACAAAGAAGCAGTAGGCATGGGCGACGAATCTGGACGAACGACACGTTGTTTATATAGAGAACGCAAGGATCGACGAAGCAACTGAAGTCTCTAGGACCAAGATGATGAGCTTGGCCTGTTGGCAAGCGGTTATAGGATGTGGTGTAACTCCTTTGTAGCAGCATTCGGCAGCTGGGCGTTCTGGGGGCTATATCTTGTATGAAAATCCCTTGGATTTGGAAATGCTTGGTCAACCTGCTAGGCGGCCAAAATGCGACACATTTTTTTCTCCGGTACTCATCATGTTCCCATGACAATTGAGTATTTGTCTGTGAAGCATATCTTCTCGCTGTCTGGGGGCACCTACGTAATTATACACAGGTATTGATGTATGGGGACGAGTGCAGGGCCCACACGAGTCCCTATGACGATGTTCTAGAAGCTCGTCATGGATGAACATCGCTTCAGCCTCTCTGGTTTTGAATAGTCAAGATGCATCTACGAAACAGTTTGTCAAGGTCAATTCGACGCTCATGCTAGAAAGGCGCCGACAAGCACGCGCAGTGTCAGACCAACGACTGCGGAAACCCACCATAGATAGACTGGCATCTGCTCGCCTTTGGGATGACGGTGACTGGCTGCTACAATCTCGCCAGGAACCACACTTGTTCGGCGCGGGGAACGCTAGCGGTCTAGCGGTGCCGGAGCTTGCGCGGGCGTTGAAGATCCTGCCACACTCACCGCAGCTGATGGATGTAGCTCAAACAAAGATACATATCGTATGGTGAGCTTTGCAGTGTAATCCGCACAAGTCTCGATCCAAGTTGGAGCCTCGCAGGCTGCGAAACATGAGCATGCGGTTGTTGCAGTCGCATAGTCCCCAATGTAGAATAGCGTCTGGCGAGCATCCATGGATGTGTGACGCTCAAGTGCTCCATTCCATCCGCCAACAGTGACATTGACGTGTCGAGCAAGACAGCATCTTCTCCACGACACTGCCATGTGGCAACAGTAACCAAACCATGCAATTGACCGAGTCAAATCATGGGTGATGGGTATGCAGGTTTTGGAGGGTGACGATGGTAGCCGCGTGCAGAAGACCAGGGCCCATACGCCATACCCAGGCATGATGCAAATGCGGGTCGCAAGCTCTCTGCTACATAAGTGCACCGCCCCAGCTTCACAAAACCGATCCATTTGCGCCATTTTGGCTATCTGCCCCTCTTGCCAGCCTCATTTGTAGTCTCCAGTCCAATTGTGTATTCGAGGTGAGTACCCAGTGTATCCGCTTTGTCCAGCATCGTTGGGTCTTCAAGTCCTAGCCGCGCTTATTGGCCTGGCCTGCAGGAAACTGCCCGAGCCAGAGCTGAGCAGTTTTCTACAGCTGCCCGTTTCCTCTGCTCGACTGACCGGGCTGCTCCTTACACCCTGCTCAATTCAAGCATTCAATGTTCCGGCTCTGTCACTGACATTCAACGTCGTGTAGTTTCCCCAACACCCACCCCTCACCTACCCACCCGAGCAACAGACTCAGAAACAATGAGTGCTCCACCAACGATACCTCCACGCCCCGCGCGGGCCCAGAACAGCTCTTCTCCTGCGCCGGGCACCCACATGGACGTCCCCAAGATTCCTCCACGCCCGAAGCGTGGCGTCGAACGCTCCGTCTCTCCAGCTGGGGACCGATATGCCCGCTCCCCTCTCAACGACCCAACCTACGTACATGGCGGACCGCCCAGGGAGGGCGGTCGTCTTAGCACCGATCTGCCCTCGCGTCCACCGAGCGTCTCCATGCCCTCGCTCGGAGAAGAAGGCAACGAATACGCCAGTTTCGAAGATCTGTCAAAGACCCTCACAAGCGAGAACCAGGGCGGCTCACCACAACATATGAAGAACGTGGCAGGAGACTTGCCTTTGCATGCTCCAACTGCCTCAGTCCCCAGCTCAACCGCGAAAAGTAGGATCCAGGCCGTGACGCGGACCGACTCGCAGACAGCTGCTGCCGCTGGCTTTGGCTCGCAGCTGTCCGTTGACGACAAGGTCTCTCAGGCCAAGTCCGGTCGCTCAGGATCTTCCGCTGGCTCACGCCCCAGCTCTCTCTACAACGACAAGGATGAACACGGCATTCCCGAGATCGGTGTGCAGGTACCCATGTTCCGCAACGCCGGAGATGTCCAGGCTCCCAGTCCTTCGCCCTATGCGCAACAGCCCGGCACCCAAGGAGTAGGTTTCCACCAGAAAGCCGGAGGTCGTCATCACGGCCGCACCAAGAGCGGTCGTGAAATCTTCCATGGTCCTCCTGGCAGCTACGGTATGCACGGTCATGGCAAGATTTCAACAGACGATTTTGAGCAGAAGTGGTATGAAAAGCATCCCGAGGATCTCAAGCGCGAGAAGGCCGGCGAGTATGGCCCTCACATTCAAGAAAATAGGAAGGATTATCATTGGCGTGCGGACAACCTTGAGAAGCTAGTGCACACCAGGTCTCAAGACGTTGGAATGGGTAAGTTGGCAACAGCTTCTGTGTCAAACAATTGTTCCTAACTGGTTTTTTCAGGCACCAGCCGAGATGCAGTCAGTACACCCGACGAACAGATCGGCTACAGGGCTACTGAGGAGTATGCTTCGCGAATGGCCTCTCCCAGGCCGCAGTCGTCGGGTCGCCCTGCCTCAATTAAGGGTGGTTACGTCGACTCACCGCTTCGTAACGAAGCAGGCCAAGAGGTCAACGACAAAGGCGAAGTCATTCATATCGATCCCCCTGCGCACCGCGCTAGCAAGGTTCACGGTGGAGGCTATGATCCGCCAACTGAAGATCTTGGTCCTGAAGGTGGCAACACGTCTGAGAAAGGCGGATGGGTTACTGAGCGTGGATACGGCACTCCCATCCTAGCTTCGGATGAGCTGAAGAAACACCCAGACGCCGAGTGGAGACAGCCTGCTGTATCACCTGAGCTAGAGCGTCACGGCAATGAGTACACGCTTAACGAGGACGGAAACCCGCAATATGTCACAAAGCAGCGCACGCACAGCAGGAGCTCAAGCCGGAACAATAGCACGCAGCAGCAACGTGTCATCTCTAGCCCAGCACAATTTGATCGCGGGGGTACCCCACTAGAGTCTCACAAGGAGTATGAACCCTTGTTCCCAGAGGATGAGGAAGACAACAAAAAACCCAAGTCTCAGGTCGACAAGCTCAAGCGTCCAAGCGTTGCTCGCCACCATTTCCCAAGTCAAGATGTCTGGGAAGACACGCCTGGTAGTCTGCAACTCGAAACTACCGTAGACACTCCTCAAGAGGCGGAAGAGCCAAGGACTGCTGGTGCCAACGACAATGTGAGTCCTGCAAAGGTCTTTGAAGACCCGAACATAGAAGAACAGCGCAAGAACCAGATCAACAAGGAAGACCAGACATCATTTCTCCCCGAACACACTAGACAATTTGCGGCAGAGAACAAGCTCCTTGGGAAGGTTCGAGACGATACGCCTGGTCGCCCTGGAATGCAGCAGCGCTTCCCAAGCCAAGACATCTGGGAAGATGCGCCGTCTCACAACTATCTTGAAACTACAGTCAGCACACCACAGATGGAGGATTCGAATGAGTATGCTGAAGACTCGCCAATTGACCAAAAGCCACAGGTGCCGGCTCGTCCTAGTGTTCCAGCCCGACCAGCTAAGAGAGAGGCTTCTGGTGACGACAAGAAAGCGCCCATCATTCCAGACCGTCCGAAGCCGCAAATTCCTGCTCGCCCAGGCAAGCCATCTACCGGCTCTTCGGAGAAAGTACCAACTGTTGAGTCACAGGCAGGCGATAACAATGCTTCTCAGCCGAAGGCGAAGCCTCCCGTCCCCGCCCGGCCCGCTGGCTCAAAGATTGCAGCTCTCCAGGCTGGCTTCCTGAAGGACCTCAACAGCAAACTTGGTCTCGG